TATGTAGCCTAGTGAAAGTACGGTGATTCCAAGCGAAGGAGTGTAGGCTTCTAAACATCTATGCAGACGTTGTGGTTGACCTTTCTTGTTGGGAAAGCTCACATGCGTGTAGTGGATGAATATGTGTGGATTTACATCAATATTGTTCATTTCTATATCTATGCCATCACTTGCAAAATCATACGTATATATGCTCATACACAGAAACATACATACATATATACATACAGACACATTCACCTTTATACACATACATATATATACATATACTCATCACCACCATATAAACCCACGAACACGAACCGGATTCCCGAGACTCCGGTTGTCGGCGGTGCCCTCGTTGGCGTGTCTGCCCTTGCGCTTGCCCATGATGTCATTGAGATCCATCTTGAACGTCTTGTGCGTGTGGTGTGTGCCTTGGTCGTCGCTTCGAAGCCTCTCCTCCTGATCACCACCCACATTCGCGTTGTCGTGCATGTCTGTGTGTGTGTGTGTTTGTGCTTGTGCGTTGTCCGTATTAACCTGTGCGTGTTCGTGTTCGCGTGTGTTGTTGTTGTCCTGGCCCGGCGGTTCTAGGTTGACAAGTTTAGGTGCGTTTGCCTCCATCTGTGGTTCTGGGCGCTGGTAGCTGCCCCGATTGGCTCGTTGTTTGGGCCCTGCACCGATATATAACAAGATCTATTAATAGAACTGACGAAACGTTATCGGAACTAGAACTTACGTCTAAGCCTATTTCCTACTACTAGAAAATGCAATCCCACAGATAAACTGCACGCCACCCCTCACAAAGTCACACACTCAAAACCCAACACATGTAGGAATTTCTGTGTTCTAGGGTTCATTGGGGGTTTTTTTGGGGAATTCCTCAGTACATAGTTATGACGAGATGGAGTGTGAAATTGCATTGACTATCAGTGACAACGTGGTGTATGAGATACAGACACCGTTCCCAAACGTCATAATCTGGATCTTCAAACCCACGCAGATATACGCACCCAGCAGCAGGCGACTGCATCTGTGGCGAAGCAGACTTTCACTCCTGGTTAATTGTCCAGGGACAAACCTAGCCCATTCTATTTATAGCACCAGACACTGTACATCGTTAACACTGTCACAAAACAGTTATATACACACTGTACATCGATAAAGTACTTACACATCACAGTGATAAACATCGTACATCGCTAGGTAGCTCACCCGTAGGCCCCCCATACCTTTGCTTTCGGGTTTGATCCCCAGGTGGCGTGTGTTGGCTAGGACGTACTCGCAATTGGTCTGCAGCATCAGGTCTTGTACGTGCATGCTCAGTGACTCGCGGCCGTTGTGGGGGTTGAGCACCTTCAGCACCAAATCAGTGACCGTCAGAGACACCGTGATCTGACACAAACCCGAGATGGGGAGTATAGTAGACAAGGTGGAAGTATATATAATTGAGTCACATGTATCGTGAGAGTGCATGTGCACAAATCTACTGCGCGCGTACAGGCAAAGCTACATGTGTAAGAGTAAAGGTATATATATATATATATATATATAATATTTAGCACTACACAAGTATGAGTAAG